TTCGCAATGGATCCCTGCTCATCACCACCAAAACGCTGGAACAGGTAAAAACCTTGATGAAATTATCTGAATTCACCCCTGCTGGCACTCCTATCCCAGTAGACACAACAATAGCCTGGTCGTCCCACTTTTCATATGGAAAAATCTTTGCTCCTGAACTACAGGGTGAATCNGCCCTGCACTGTCTCCTCATCGCAACCAACTGAAAGCTGCTTGCATCCGCCTCGGAGTCTCCTTCAGCCTGCCCTCGCTCATAGCCCCTGAATTTCCTGCTGATATAATTATCAAGTACCTCCAAGACACCAACATGCTTGACAACATTTAGTAATCCACGAAGATGCTGAATGGGGGCGCCAATACTTCAGTCGGTGACGCGCCTCATCTTAACCAAGTAACCAAGTAAGGATTGTCGTTAAGTTAATAAGTTGTCTTCTTTCTATCTTGGAACAAACTCTGTAATTCACCGATACCACTTTGAAAACAATTGTGCTTCGGTGTGACAAAGTGCAATGGTTAATTTACCACAGCGTCGAATTTAGACACCGATCAAAAGGAACGCTGCCGAACTCAGCAAATAATCAACTTCGCGTGCTTCATCTGCTTCTGCGCGCTGTGTTCCGCCACAGTTTCGGGGATCAGTCGTTCGCAACCACAGTCCACAGCATACGTACTATTCTAGGCCATATATGTTTTCTTCAGATTCCCAAAAACCTGTTTTGAGCCATATGAGAGCTGATCAGTCTTATGCAAGCTGCCCAAAACCAAGAGGCAAAGCACTCCACAGTCTCCACTTGCAACTGGCCAACAAGCTCTCAGGCGGCAGTGAGGCGGCTGAGGCCCAGTGGTCAACCATCTGCCATCGCCCATCAGGCATCAGATGATCAGCCTTGAGGCAGACCTGTGGCTTTAACTTTCAAAGTTTCAAGTCCACTCAGGTCTCAGCATGCTAGTCTGGAAAAGTCCTATTTTTGTCTGAAATATCGCGGCTCTAATAACATATAATTTCAGTAGGTATGAAATCTCGCGGCTCGAATGTCATAAAGTTTTGTTTGATTAAAAAATCGCGGTTTGCACTTCGCAAACATGTCATTTCATAAAATTTTCAACTTCCGCAATCCGCATTGCTTTACCGTTTCCGCCAAAAATATCTTGCAGAAAAAACATAAACATCGTAATGTAAACAAATAAACAAAACGTTTGTTGAAGATCGCGCATAGTTGCGGTCATAGTGGCAAACCAGTGACTTTTTAGAATCAGTTCATTTTTAATTTCCTCATTTACTCAAGATTTTAACAGATTTCTTATGTATGATAATTCTGGTATCCAAGATACTTTACTGGTCTACTTATAGGACTCAAAAATGAACTTGAGGAAGAGTCTAAAAAACTCTCTGCTTTGCCACTATGGTTGCGGTCATGTCAAAGCGGTCAGACTGTATATTAACACATGCTGAACTTACAGTAGACGTAGAGACAAATTTTATTGTTGCCGTTTGACTGTTTAAGGGTAAAATTAGAGATTTGGGGTAACACGTGCATAAACTTTGTAAATAAATTCGCATTCGCACCTCGTAAATGGCTTTTCATGGCCGAGATATGGAATTCACGGCTCGGTGAAATAGAATCACGGCTCATAGAAATGGAATCACGGCTGGCAAATCCATAAAACCAC